TCCTTGAATCTTCAGTATTAATATTTGGAGGACCCAGCCACAGTCCTAAGACTGTTGATACTGTTTCCAAATAGGGTGTCACCTTGTGTACATTACAGCGTTAACAGTGCTAAATGAAGTTCTAGAATATGTGACTGTCAGGAAAAAACTGATCTGATTGGACCTTCAATTAACAAGTGTAAGATCATGCCTCAAGCTGCAAGTTGAATTGGGAGAAATTCAGAAATCATTACTGCTGATGATTTGAGGTACACATTTTGAAGTAAAAAGTATGAAAATAGTAATTAAGGGCCAGCCCATGGCATGGTGGTTAAGCCAGCCATATCCCGCAAATTCTGGACCTAGCAGCTTGAAAAGCACTCCAGGAATGTGTGCGCACAGCCAGACTCTCAAAAGGGAGAAATGGAGAAGAGATTGCTGTATTACCATCCCCCATGGAGGGTGCTGTCTCACACTCCCTTTCTCCAGCAAGAACATAATATGCTTCCTAGCAGTTTTTAAAACCACACATTATCTGTGTGTGTAAACAACACCTACAGAATTATGTATTATGAGTGGGAATTTATCTCCAGAACTTAAATCTTGGTTTCTTTTATATTACTTTTAAAACATTCTGGGGACCAGCAGGTGGCATAATGGTTACATCACTGGACTCTGACATAGTCAACCGGGAATCATGTCCTGGACCCAGTGGCTTAAACTCAGACCAGGAATGTGTGCGGGTGTATGTGTGTTTGCCCCAAATCCCGAGAGAAGGAATTGTGGCATGGTCACCCCCCTCCCAGGAGGTAATTTCTCATTTTGTTAGAAGTCTCTCTGTGGGGCCAGCAGGTGGCATAGAGGTTAAATAGCTGGATTCCTCACAGCCAGTTGTGAGGTTCAAATGGCAGCTTGAAATACACATAAGGTGCATATGTGCGCATGCCCCAAATCACAAGATAAAGATAGTGGCATGGCCATTACTCTCCTTCCCGCCACCCCCCCAGGGTGAGGGAAGACTTTCTCACTTCAGAAAAAAGTGTTTACATTTTGCAATACTATGTTTTAAGTAGCCCTTCCATGTTACAACACTGGGCAGTACAAGGCTCCTTAATGTTTTTTTTTCCCCCCCTCTTCCCCAGGTGGTCTTCGAGGGGTAGCCCGCGGTGGTCTCGCAGGACTAACAATCACCAGCCTCTATGCTCTGTACAATAACTGGGAGCACATGAAAGGCTCTTTTCTTCAGCAGTCACTTTGAGGATTGTGCCAACTGGTGAGCAGAGGACACTTCAGTAGTAACCCAGATCCAATTACAAGTCAGTCTGGAGTTATGCTTTATCAACAATTAGTTTGAAAAATTGGAGGTTCTGATTTGCTATGAAGATCATGGATGGCTGACCAGGACTGGCACTCCGTCCAGCCCTTAGTGAGCTGATGCCAAAACCCTTTGGTGGCACACTGAGTCACGTGGTTCTCTTCACTCGGAGAGGAAATCGTGTACCTGCTCTTCTCTCTCCTACCCCTGAACTGGAAAACCACTTACTCTCAGAATTCAAGTCATGTTTGTCATCAATATTATGCCACCGAGATTATTAATTTAATGATTCAAAACTGTAATGTTGCTCTGTGTTCTGAATAAAGGGTGAAAATGAACCAAAGTCGTAACTCCAACAAACATAATGGGTGTCTCCATTTAATAACATCTACTTGGGTATGGTATAAAGTGAAAGTTAATCTTGGCTTTTTATTCTGCCCCAACTAGGCCAAAACATGTTTTTGTGTTGGTGTTGAAATGCTACTGGTGGCAGACAATTGGGGTAAGAGTTTTGTCCAATAGAGGTGACACTGAACGACCCCCGATGTATGCCAGGGTAACCATTACACCATTACTGTAATAGTCTGTTACAATAATCTGTAACATTAACTCCTTACTGAGAAAGTGAAGAACTAGAAATTTTTAAGGAAGTCTTTGGAAGCTAAACGGATTAAGAACAAGTTGTTTAAGAGTTTTCTCATCTGTAAAATGTAGTTAATCAAATATAAATGCACTGCAGGCTACATATATACAGTAAATACTAAACTGGTAGCTATATGACTAGAAAAAGAAAACTAGGGTCATTTTGGATGCAGCTAGTAAAACAGAATCCAGCAAAACAGAATTTTGGCTGAAGTCCCACAGTTTAGAAAAAAAAAAGTTTTCAGAAAAAGGTTGGAAATGGAAATAATAATAAACCTACTCTTTGCCAACTTAAGATTCATGGCATGGAATACATTGATGATACAGTGAATATACGAATCATATCCAGGCTGTTTCTCAGCTATATGCCTAACATTTATATAACAGTTACATACACGTGACAGTGTACTTCGTAACAAATAAGTTTTACAAACACAAGATATGGCTGTTAATGCTTTTAATGGAAGGAGGCACCAAATACATTAATGCAAAAGAATACATACTCAG